AAAGTTCTGGTGTGAAATTTTCTAACTTGGGACTAGAAAAAGTAGAAAGCTGGAATTTTAGGGAAGTTTTTCCTGTCGATATGCAATCTTTGGCCATTTCTCCGAGTTTGTTACTTTAGACCCTTTGCTCTACGCACGCCTAAAGTTCTGGTGTGAAATTTTCTAACTTGGGACTAGAAAAAGTAGAAAGCTGAAATTTTAGGGAAGTTTTCCCTGTCGACATGCGATCTTTGGCCATTCCTCCGAGCCTGTTACTTCAGACCCTTTGCTGTGTTTCGCAGATGCGGAAAGCTTGGCATACTTTATTGGTTTCCTTGAGAGAGTTCATCCCTCAACAGTGATCAACAGTTACAGGTGCGTATCAAGAGTTCCTAACCGCTCCGTGGCAGCATCCTTTGGCTACCTAAAATCCTGTGCAGCTTCTCGTCTTCTCGTTGCCGATTCTCTGCCGTGTTATTTTATGCATTTCGTTTCGTTTCCTTTGTCGCGTCGTACAGCATACATAGGCGTTTTCAGCACAGTCTTACTTTTGAAAAGGTACCAAGCTTCTTTGTTCTATGCTCAGCAGACCTTACACCGTGGTTGTGTTTTAAATTATTAAAGCGCAGAAATAAAGTGAAGCAGCAATACTACAATGAAAACATAAAATTGCGTAACTGGTTGAATAAAACAAACTTCCAAGCTCGCCAGCTCGGGAAAATGCAGTTTTTGTTCCGAACAGCCACACTCCAACCGAATTTTGCAAGAAATCATTGACTTCCTGGAAAATTACGTTTAAACATGATTAGCATGACTTTTCAAAAAAAAAGAAAAAAATGCAAATTACCAGGGCACCTTTTGCGAGGAGATGAGCATTCTGAACATTTTAATACAGAAATGGATTTTCGAAAATCATTCGTGTAATTAAAGGAAGGCGAAAAGTAAGTACATATTGCTATTTATGCATTTTTGCATGTATGAAAATGCAGTGTGCATCTGTCCGGGTATTTCAACTCCGCAGTCAAGCATGCTTCAATGCTGAGATTTCTCTATTGGGTTCTCCGGTTAAGTGCCACCCCAGGAACGCGGCACCAGCCTTCACACACGCCTGAAGTCTGCGTGCTAGCGCGCGAAATTCTTGGCGGAGAAACTGCTAACTCGGGAACTAAAAAAGCTTGAAAGCCAAAATTTTAAGAGAATGTTTTCCGCTCACGTACAAGTTAAAAGTTTCGAATTCAGCTCCTAGATAAGCGTGGTTTTCAGGCATGGATGCATAGAGGGTTGGTAGAGGAAATGCTAACTCAGGAACCAGAACGGCCTGAAAGCTGAAATTTTAAGGAAACCTTCCTGTTCAAGTGTAAATTAAAGATTTCAAATTCTGCCCCCAGGTATGCACGGTTCTCACGTACAGGCATGTAGAATTTTTGGTGGAAAGATTATTCATTGGACGGCTTGGTCTTTTCCAGTGAACGACCATTTGACGGAAATTTTTCATTTCCCTTTATGCATAATTTGATTTACGCTAAATACACAAGCTAAATACAAATAACAACGATTTATACGTTTAAGGACCTGACTGCTTCGAGTTTAATCCAAAAACGCATGAAGCACCAGCAACTCTAATGTACGTTCCAGCCCAGAATTCTGTAAAGTTTCCGTTTTTAGAAATGATATGTTGTCTCTTTGCGTGTCTTTGCATCACTGATGAAACACAAAAACGCAAATTGTTTTTAGCTTTATCCATATGCGTGATTTTGTGCGTTTTTTTTTTTTTTTTTTGCATTTATGCAATGCAAAAACGCATGCTGTCAGGGGGTTGTCTGTTTTTCCGTGCGTATGTGTGTGCGTGTGTGTCTGTGTGTGCATCTGTGCCGAGTTTTCATCTAAAAATCTACAAAAGCTACAGGGTTAAAACTTCGGAAGAAACATGATCAACGCATACGAACGGGCCTCTACCTCCAAAATGAACGCTTAAGTTCTCGTTGTTCTCACGTACGGGCACGCGAAAGTTTTTTGGCGGGAAAGCAATTTCTGGAACGGCACAAGCTAGTAGACTGGAACTTCACAGATGTTCACCGGCAACTCTAATCCGAAGATTTCAAATTCAGCCTTCATGCACCCCTTGCTCTCACGTTGAAGTTTAAACTGGCACCACGCCAACCCCAGATTTAAGCTGATCAAGAATTTGGAGGAAGCGGTAATTTTCCAGTGTCATTTGCTGCCTACTGATGTGTTCGAGAAAGTAAATTTAGCTTTCCAGCCCCTCTGCATTTCACGTGAAAATTTCGTGCAGGCAATTTTGTAACTTCAGAACTGAAGTAGCTAAAGGGCTGAAATTTCCTGAGCATAACCGACAGCGGCGTTTGACTAGGTGAACGTGAAAACGACTTTCACGTCCCTCTTAAGTCTCACGCACGCGCACGTGGAATATGATGTAAACTCGCAGCCAGAGCAGCTGGAGTGCTGAAATTTTCCGAACGTGGTCCAGAGTCATGTTTAGGCAGACGCACATGGAGACGACGTCCACACTGCACCCCACATACGAACACGTAAAATTTGACGCACCTCCGCAGCGAAGCATCTAGAGTGCTGAATTTTTGAGTGTAGATTAGGAAACACTGCAATGTCTAACAGTCGTGATGGCACTCTCAATTCTTTTAGCCAGGAGCACCTGCCGGAAAAAACAGTACCATTAGCGACAAAAACCTGCGGCGGACTGTACAAAAAACGCATCCCTGTACCGGCAGCCGGTGCGCTGTCGACTAATTTTATGTGCAAATATGTGGGAGCTATGAAGCTCAAATTGTGGCAAATTAGTCCATCTTCGTGGATGCACTTCGCCATTTGTTCTGCGGTGATGCCTCACACTTCTGTAATTTAACCCTTATGAACTTCCTAAACAGAAAATAAAATTCAAACCTGACCCAAACACGTTTTCTTTTAAAAACGAAAACAGCTGTACAATTACACTTAGTATCAAAAAAAAAAAAAAACACCCGAACATTAATAAATATAAAACTATAATTTATTAATCAGAAAAACAAAATGCAAGCACAAAAGAAGGCAAGATGAAACCGAACAACATTAGTAATTCAAAGGAAAAATATGAGCTTACAAGTGTCAGAATTGCATTTGATTTCAGTCGTAGTCACTGAAAAAGTAGCAGTGCCAAATGAAATCTAGTGCTTATATACTACTTGCTGATGCAGTGCAAGCGGGAAACAAACACAAATTTCAGAAGTGAAGTCGCGCATCGTCAGTTGGACTTGAACAAGAAGCAGAACAAACGACTAATTTTTCAAACAGGATTCTCGGAAAACTGTTAAAGAACAGTTTTCTGAGACCGTTAAGCACATGCTTCTTGCAGTACTGCCAATTTCAACCGTAGCTCAAACAGAAATTATTAAATTCCTCAAGACCTTTAGCACCACCCAGAGAATTTAGCGCTGCAGTTCCCTTAAATGATCAATGCGAGGGAAGAAAATGCCGAGTTACAAAAAACAGCAAGTAAAAAGCGGCACCGACAAGGAAGAAATGAAAACAGATTGGACCAACTCCGATCAAGATCCTATCACATCTAAACTATTGCAGTCTACGTACACGTAGCACAAAAACTGTACAAACATAACCGCTGAGAAATGAACACTGACAAAGCAAATTCACAGGCAGTCTCAGTACAAGGGAGTATCGTAAAATTTATTCATTAAACAGCATGCACAATATTTATGCATATATTTCATGCGTTTAGGTGAAAAGGAGACAAATCAGCCCACATATTAACTTTTCGCGCGCAAAAAAAAGCTTCGCGAAGCTCCTTTTTTAGCTAGCCGGAGACAAAATTTCAAGATCTTGCATCCAGCTCAGTCAAGCCGTGGATTAACTTGACTGCAAAGATAAATCAGCAGCGATTCTCCCTATCTCAGTCTGCAAACTGAAGAAAAGAAATAACCGTCACCTGCAGCAGGAAGGGCACGCCGCGATAAATACTAATGCGCTTTTTAAACGATCCTACAGGCTCTTTTATGGCATGAGAAAAAACAAACTATTCCATATTCCGTGACTGGCTTAGCAAAAACATTGTGCAACCTGACAAAGTAACTCAAAGAATGGCATCGAAGGTTTCGAAGGAGATAACTGTCGCTTTGGAAGTCCTGCTGGTGTTGCTATTGCAATGAGGATCGAAATTCAAGCGCGCAACAGTTAAAAAGCCCAGATCGCGCATTTCAGATACAACGCTTCTTCTACTGCTTCTATCATCCACTCGGCACAGTGTAACACCGGTCGGTTAATAAAAACGAGTGAATAACCTAAAAATGAATTCCAGCAAGTTAGTGACAAATGCCGAAAGATGTGAAAGAATTTCGTTAAAAACATGTGAATCCGGAGTCTGCATGCGCTGAGTTGAAATGCTCATTTGGGAAGCTGCTGTTGAAGAAGAGATGGGATCTGGGCAAGGTAAGGATGGTGAGTGAAAAGAGGGAGAGTGGGAGGAAACGGAAGGGAAGGGAAGGGAAGTAACAAGGGTAAGAAGAAAGGAGAATGGGAAACTAGTGAATTATTCCCGAGCTAGCAAAAAATTTCTAAACTTTTTTCTTATGAGCTTCAATAGGCAAAATGCACCGTTGGCATATCAAAACTTATGACGCTGATGATACCGACATTGCTCGAGGTCTTTAAACTTTAGATCCTTCCCACCTCGACTGAAAAGTGGCTTGATAGCGCTAGAGCCGCATACACTCCCAAGCGAATCGTCAACAGAAGGACAACATACTGTTCATCCTGCTATGACCAACAGCACTCAATAAGACATTTTGCTCGGAATCAACGCTTTCCGTGCATCGGCTTACAAAATAAATTTTGAAATGTTCTCATGCTGCTCAAGCTATAGCTACTTTCACGTCCCATCGACCGGCTGAGCAAAAGTCGGGTTTCAGATTAAGCCTCAACCATGCACCACTACACT